TGCCGCTCACTGCACAGAACAGACGCCAAGAGAGGTGACACTTCTCTGGGAAAGTCAGACCTCGCGTTCATGGGACAGCACTGGCAAAATCTTCCAATTGAACCATAGCTAAGGTTTATACAAAAAAGTCGCTGGGTTTGTCAGTATAAATATTCTATGGAAAATAAAGCAGCTGAAAGGGTCTGAAAGTTGCTAAATCTAGTGCTAAAGTAGAGCTGATGGCAGGGGGCGGTGGATATTTGTGGCGGTAAATGTGGATATTGTGGATAAGTTCTTCTGTGTCATCACGTTCTATTAGTTCTACAGCTTCAGTTTCGGAACTTTCACGCTTAGTAACTAGGGGTCGACCGATATGTGTTTTTCAGGGCCGATGCCGATTATTACAGACTACGTAGACCGATAACCGATATTTTGAACCGATATATATGCCTGGTACAAAAAATGTAAATTGATGTCAAAATTAATAATAACAAGGGCTCTGACAAAAACTTTCTTTAAATGCTTTTAAACATATCTTTAATTCTGAGAATTGTTAATAATAATATTAAATAAACATTAATATTAATAATAATAACAACATAAAAAACACCCAGCAGCATTCTGTAAACATTTTGTAAAACTTAAAGAAGTAAACAACAACAAGCAACAAATTAACTTAATGGAAAATAAATGTAATAGCTCCCTGAAGTTTTATAAGCTAATAAAATGGGTAACAATTAGTAGTCCCAATCCAGCAGCACCAGGTTGTGGTGCAGGAAGCAGAGCTGCTCGGCATGCTCTCCAGTGAGCTTGCTTCTTCTCTTGTCATAAATTGCAGACACTTCACTGAAGACTTGCTCACTAGGGACTGATGAGGGTGGTGAGCAAAGAAATTTTCTTGCTTCTTTGGCAAGTAGCTTGAAGCGCCCTTCATTCTGTTTCCACCACTGGAGTGACCTTGTTTAGTGTAGAGGCAGAGGAGAATGCATGACTCTTATAACGTGGATCCAAAAGACATGCCAGAACCACAGTTTTTGAGTCTTCAAGTTTGGCGAATCGTTTGATTAGGCTCTCCCTCATTACCTCCCTGAACGTTCTGATGCCTTGTGTTGATGGCCCTTCAGCTTCAAGTAGCATTGGGAATGATACTGGACGCAGATGAATTACTGTAGCTCACCTCTAGTGTCACTTCCTCAATGGGGATGAGTGTTTCAACCAAATTGGATACAATGTCCCACTGGTGAGCAGCTGGACATGTAAAACCGCCGTGTTCCCGCAGAGTAGATGTTAAGAGCACGCTTTTGTTCCAGTGCCCTTTGCAGCATGTGGTGTTGAGTTCCACCTTGTTGGGACTGCCTGGATTAAGTTGTGCTCTGGTAGGCCAAGGTCCCTTTGGATGTTTCGCAGACGCTGCTTGGCCAAGATGGAATGTTGGAAGTGAGTGACATGGCAATTTTAGCATGGCAATCACATCTATTACAGCTCTTTGGCTGGCCAACCCATCATTTACCACCAGCTGCAATGAATGTGCTGTGGAGCTAAGGTCTGGAATATCGGCAAGCCTCAAGCCCTTCACCATGTCTGCGCCATTGTCTCGCAGGACAAGAACTACACGGTCTTTGGTAATTTTCCATTTCTCCAGCATGTGCAGGAATGTGTCTTTGATATATTCCCCAGTATGGGATCCGTGCATTACTCTTGTATTTAAAACAACCTGCCTTCTGTTCCATTCATTGTCAATGTAATGGCACGTTAGGCTCATCATTGACTCTGCTGATCCTGACCAGCAATCTGTTGTAAAGGAGAGTGAGAAGCCAGCACTCTCTGGCTGGATCAGGGTTTTTATCTTGCTTACAAACCTTTCGTAGATTTCTGGCAGCTTCTCAGTATGGTAATACTTCTCACTTTTTAGTGCATATCGTGGTTCTGCCACATCCATGAGTCGCTTAAAGCCAACGTCAGAGACCATAGTGAATGGTTGGTTGTCAGCAATTATAATTTCTGTGATAAGTTTGTCTATTTGTTTTGATCTGTCATCCAGATTTATCCATTTTTTTGTTTCTGAAACATGTCATGTATTGTAGGCTGGCATGTGGATGTTGCCCCCTGCTCAGATTCAGGTTCGCTTGTTTGTGCAGATTTATACAAGTCATGGTGATGAATCCTAAGATGAGACCACAGGTTTGAAGTACTGGCACTTTTTGCCATTGTACCACTCATACTGACAACATCTCTACATGTTTTGCACACTGCCTTCCCTGATGTTGGTTGAGTGTAGTACTCACACACTGCCCTTCCCCTGTACATCCATCTACAATAAGGGTACAATAAAGAGAGTTAAAAGTGGGGCCACTGTATGCTTCATGATTAAGCATATGAATACTGTACTACAGTTAAACATCTTGGGTAAATACGTATTTGGCTTCAAAAATGTACATGTTAGAAATGTATGTGTAATAGCATAACCTCTAATAATTCCTCAATTCTTTTCTGATGACTAAAACATAGCCTACAATAGTAGAGGTGACTATTCAATTCATCATCTAATGCACATCAATAGATTAACTTAAAAAAGCACAATGTATAAAATAAGTGTAAATAATTTAATTGTCTTCATAGCTCCATTGTAGAAGTTGTTAACAAGACCGCAACTTTTTTCATGAAACTATAACACTAATAGCCTATTATAGGCACACTTAATTCAATAGCCTATTAAAATTTCTCAATTTTTGTCATCCTAATCTTGGTTTATGTGACACTAGAAATTTATGTTAGTTTTAATTTACAGTACAGTGCAAATTAAGGCATAACACATTAATTTATCTTTTAATCAAATCAGAGTTAAAAGCTTTATTTTTTGGCAAACAAAGGAGTTTAAAATTAAAACATGGAAGAAATAGCGTATTATGTGATTATTCTCAACAAAAGTTGTAATAATTGTTGTAGTAGTATTACGTATATTCTACTGCACCGCAGTAATATATTCGGCTATACCGGACTTATATTTTGACGGGTTGCCATGAGGACCTTTTAAGTTTCTCTAGCCTATGTATATGATATGACGCTAGTTTTACTCAAATTAAATGGTCAAATGCTCATGAAGTGACTCTGAGAGCAGTTCTAGGGATGCTGTTCATGTATTTATGTCATCACTTAGTGAGAAGGCAGATATTGAAAACACCGCGAGCGTCACCCGCTCTTCAGTATGTGTAGTACACAAAACCGCACGTCTGCGTCATTCATTAACAGAGACACGCAGAACATGCAGGATTCATATTTAAATAGTATTTTTGCGAGATTCGATTTAAGTGTACTGACCTACTTTTGATTCATTTATCCAAACGTTGACAAATTCCCTGACATTCCGCGTTATACAGTAAATTCCATATGACTGCATTCCGCGATTCTGTCCGCGTTTTCCGCATTGCGGAAATCATAGATAATATTGAGGTGTTTTGCAACTTCAATGTAGTGGATTGTGATTTATTGCAACTTCAGCAACGTCTGCTGCTGTCTTACCTTTGAGAGACAACTGATGCGTGATCACTGACGCAGCTCCAGTTAGCAAGCGCTTTCTGTGTGAGAGTGCCTTCAGTCTTCCGCGTTGATTGGTCAGACTCATGACTCCCAACAAATCAGGTGGGCGGAGATTGCTCTAGGTCACAGAGTGTTGAGCTCCGACAGGCTGCATTGGAGCCAAATAGCGCGTTTCAAAATGTAATAATTTAATCGACAAATCGGTTTTGAAAATGAACGATACCGATAATCATAAAAATGCTTAATATCGGCACCAATAATCGGCAAGGCCAATAATCGGTCGACCCCTATTCGTAACACATACAGCTGTTCCCTCACCACAGTGCAACAGTGAAAAGGGACCCCTTTCAAAATGGTCGCATTCCGAACATTGTTTAAGCGACATACACCGGTATTGCGGTATTTAAAAAATTCATTTCATAACAAAAATAAACACGGTATGAACCGGGACAACTCTTGATGGGCGAGTGCGGGTGGGAAGAGACTCGTGTGTGTGCGGGATGAGGGAGAATAAAATGATTCGCGGGACTCCCGCAAAATAGAAATGACCTAAACATAAAGTGTCTAAAACATATAAATTGTTATTTAGCTGTTTTGCACAAAAGCAAAAAGAACAACTAATATTAACATTAAAATGATTGACAAGTGCAAGCTAGGCATAGTTTCTATTTATAACATGCTTTTCTGTTAAAAATAACATTGGTTTGTGAATGTTGATGCTTAGTCTAAATAACAAATATGTTATGGCGAGTGTTTATGCTGGGATGTTGTGGAGCTTAGGAGATGTTACAGAACCATTTCATGTAAATTTCTTCATGTACTGAAAAAAATCTATATAGATTACTTTTATGTGGACTTTTGCGGGCGGGAGCGGGACCAGATAAGATATTTCTGCGGGAGCGGGCGGGCGCGGAAAAAAAATCCATCTCATAAAAAGGTCTCTACTTTGATGTCTACACCAATCGATCTTCAAGTCGAACGCAGCTCTTTACTCTTGCATGTAACGTGACCAAATCGCAGCCTCTGCGATTGAAAAATTGCATTTTTTCATATTGCCATATTATCGCAAATACAATTAATTGTTCAGCCCTAATATGAACAAATAAGCCTGTGAAAATATATCTGCATTAACATTTTTTATTCCAAAAATTTTATTTAATTTACTTTTATTTATTTTCTGAAAGATCAAAAGGTATAAATACAGGTTTATTTTCACACCCTTCTTTAATCATATTTTCTTAGGGTGCCAAAATAATTCTGACCATGTATCTCTCTCTCTCTAAAACAGCTGCTTTATGTGTAACATCATAAATAATAATTAGCATGTTGCAAAACTGACAACAACAGCTGAGTGGAAGAATTTATGCAAGAATTCATTACAAAAAGATTTCTAGGCATTCCTTTTCTTTTATTTTACACCTGATGTTCGTTCCATCTTTTATAGGCAAACAGTCATTAAAGATTAATGAAGAATGAACACCAACCTCCATGATCCTGTTTTATTCTCCGGGTTTCTGGTTCCTCGTGTTTTATTCTCCGGGGTTCTGGTTCCTCGTGTTTTATTCTCCGGGGTTCTGGTTCCTCGTGTTTTATTCTCCGGGGTTCTGGTTCCTCGTGTTTTATTCTCCGGGGTTCTGGTTCCTCGTGTTTTATTCTCCGGGGTTCTGGTTCCTCGTGTTTTATTCTCCGGGGTTCTGGTTCCTCGTGTTTTATTCTCCGGGGTTCTGGTTCCTCGTGTTTTATTCTCCGGGGTTCTGGTTCCTCGTGTTTTATTCTCCGGGGTTCTGGTTCCTCGTGTTTTATTCTCCAGGGTTCTGCTTCACTCGTGTTCTCCTCACTCTCCTCTTTAACAAACAGCATCTTCACAACAGTATCTCAGTTCAGATGATACTCCTCCAGATATCCCTGCTTGCTTCAAAACTTAATCACGACTATGAGGGTGAGAATATTACAGGCATTTAACGTTACTGACCTGATTCAAAAACTGTATTTTTATATTTATATTTACAACAACTTTTGTAACATATTGTATTAAAAAAAACACGATAACAAAACGGAGCGCGGTGAAACCGGGTGAAACTGATCTTCTTCCTCTGTGGTTTAATGGTGTTTGGCAAACAAAGGCATGTATTTAGCGCCACCCGCTGGACTGGAGTGTAAAGCGGCGAGAGGAGGAAAACAACACGGGTAAAATTACTTAGTGCGTTTATAAGGTGCGCTTTTTTAACATTTAAAATGACTTAGAATCATAGACTGGCGTGGTATTTGATCAGCATTAACAGTCTTCGTGTGTGAGGATTAGAGGAGAAAAACGAGCGAATTTATTAGTCAAATATTTCATTGAAAATCACTCAAAGTTACAGCATGTAAATATGGAGATTAAGATCAATGAAAACACATGATAATGATAAGATGTAGAGTGCAAGCCTGAGAATGCACGTCTGAGAGTGCACGCGCCAGGCTGCAGCCAGACCCTTTTGGCTGCGTCCGAAAGCTGCCCAGTGCCTAAAAGCCTGGTTTCGCAGCGACCAAAGAATGAGCCATCGCGGAGTGGGCGGTCGTGTGCGTTATTTGAAGGCTTGTTGAATGGCATTTCATGCAGCTCCATTATCGAAGAGCGTCTCTGGTCAATCAGGCACGTCTGTAACTTACAGGCATCTTTATGAATCGAAAGAAGCTTGATGTGAACTATCAAGGACTTCATGAAAAAAAAACTCCATCCGGTTCTTTTTGAGGCTTTGAGGGACAGCAATGCATTCATGCATTCCTTTGCTTAAAGTTGTTTTGTGTTTGATAAGAAATAAAACTAAAAGATGAAGATGTTTTTGTGGTGTACAAATCCAATTCCAAAAAAGTTGGGACACTGTACAAATTGTGAGTAAAAAAGGAATGGAATAATTTACAAATCTCATAAACTTATATTTTATTCACAATAGAATATAGATAACATATCAAATGTTGAAAGTGAGACATTTTGAAATGTCATGCCAAATATTGTCTCATTTTGGATTTCATGAGAGCTACACATTCCAAAAAAGTTGGGACAGGTAGACATAAGAGACATAAGAGAGTTAAATGTACATATAAGGAACAGCTGGAGGACCAATTTGCAACTTAGTAGGTCAATTGGCAACATGATTGGGTATAAAAAGAGCCTCTCAGAGTGGCAGTGTCTCTCAGAAGTCGTGTCTTTGCAAATATATATTATCACTACAAACTGACGGAACAGACCGTGATTAACCTCATTCTTTTGTCTCTATACACATAAAGATACATTGGCATAGATGGGTGAACATAATCCCCTGATTTTGTAAATGTGGCCAATTACATTTGCATTAAGCACAGAGTTTGCACTTGTCTATAATTTAAACTAATAGCTTACATTTACAAACAGCCTGCAATAAACAAAAATTAGTTTTGCCTATATGTCATGATAAGAGGTAAATCCAGCCCTGCTTTTAGAAAGACACAGAAGAGATTTCAGCACTTTTTTAGACACTTATTTGATCAGACTTACATTTTAAATTTAAATGATTTTGATTGAGTTTTTGTCATTTTTATTAATGTACAAATATATATTTAGCATCAGTTTTAATATGTATAATTATAAATAATTGTATTTCAGTTTTAGTCATTATAATACTTCAGGTTAATTTATTTAATTTTGGGAAGCTGCCAAAACAACTTTTCAAATTTTCATTTAATCTTAATCTTTTAGATTTTCATCTAATGTTTATAATTTATTTTCATCTCTATTTTAGTGACTGGATTAAATACAAATGTTAATAATTTAGTTGTTACGATCCGAGTAAGATAAGCAAAGTAGCAGTTTCAGTTGCTTTTATGGTGCCTTTTTTCCTCTGTGGCGGAAACTTCTCAAATACATTCTTTAGACGCATTATCATTGTAGCTTCTTGAGATGCAAAATAAATCTATATGTGTCTGAAAAGTGGCGGCCCAAATGGCCAATTCACACTAAACCATTCACATTGTGTCTATTGCTTTTTTAAGTATGAAGGTCCCGCTCCACAGACAGAAAGCTGGATTAAATATTAAGGAAAAAATAACAATTTTATAGAGGCATCAGTAGTTTTGTTATCAGTGATACTGGCCTTCAGTCATTAAACAAATATTACAAATATACTGTCTTCATGTTGTTTCTACATTAATTTGAAGATTAAATGTGAAAGTTTTACAATATAAAAGTACACAGTGCCCAGTGTTTAATGTTAGGTGGGATTAATCACGATTAGTTTCAGAAAAAAACATGCAATTAAATAGGTAATTTTTTTACCGATTGACAACACTAATTTATTTATTTGTGGGGTTGAATACCGCCACTTATTTTTTCCACTTCAAGCACTGATTGTGTATCATATTCACACCAAAGTCCATTTCTGAGTTTAAATCACATGCCAAATAGAAACAGAAAATCATGCTATTGATACGCATTTTCATTTCTTTAAATGGCATATCTGTCACACATTCTTAGCAGCTCACAATTATTTGTTGTACCATAGTTCTGCCCCTCTCAAAAGTAACAAAAAAGTGTTTAACAAAGTTAATGTAATGACTTGTGCTTGATGATATTTGTCATTTGTTATTTACTTTGATTTATGAAGCAAAGTGGATTTCTTAACCTGATGAATTAAAAGTACTTATGTTAAAATAACACAGAGCAATAGCATATTCTATGCTAATGCAGATACAATATTTGTAACTTAAGTAATAATACAATAAAGAGACAGTTATTTAACAATATGTTAAGGAGTGGTGACTTTTGTACAGTCTTACAGTTACAACCGGCCCTTTGAGGGCAGCCATAATGTTGAAGTGGCCCTCAGTGAAAATGAGTTTGACAGCCCTGATATAGAGTCAGCAGAAATCTGATTTCAGTTCAAAGTGAAGTGAAGTGTCTTCAGAAAGTGAGGTGAGTGAAGCAGAGACATGAGGATGGCACGTCTGTCTGATGTCCACACTGAGCTTTCTGGACTCGTTTCTAGTGTTTAGCTCTGAATGAATCATGAGGATCAAACAGTGAACACAAAACACCAGTTCTGCTTCTTTACTGAGATCTCACACATTAATGCTGAATGTGTCAACTGTTAGATGAAAAACACAAGGCAGGATGAACACACTGCTATTGTGCACATACACATAAAGGGTCCATGCTTTACAGTTTCTATTTCAGCTATCACATGCTCATTTTGTAAATGTAAGCTATTTATTTAAATTATAGACAAGTGCAAACTGGGTGCTTAATGCAAATGTAATTGACCACATTTACAAAATCAGGCGATTATGTTCGCCCATCTATGCAAAAGTGTCTTTATGTATAGAGACAAAAGAATGAGGTTAATCTTCACATCAGTTTGATTGTTTTCTGGTGCATTCATCAGTGTATTTGCAAATAAACACAATCTTGAGCTTTTGGTTTTATTTTTTGGTCTCATCAAACACAAATCATAAGGAATTCCAATTTTAGTCCAATTAAATTTTTTTAAATATATGTAGCGACTCAGCTCATGGGAAATATGAATAATTAATCATAACTAGTTATAATTAATTATAAATATTTAGATCCGCTGTAGATATTTAGCTGACCTCTCAGGGTCAACTGTCTGTCAATTCTTAGAACGTTAATTCCCTGGTTAAGGGAAATAACTTTCTTACTGTACAATTCTACAAAGAGCTTGTAGCATAAATCTGCATGATTACGTGACTCCAGTTATGAGCAAACAATGAACCACGTCAAGTGTGATACAAGTAAGGTTTTATTAACTACATTTAAGTAAACTTCCGGCTTCGCTACCGTTCGGACGTTTTTGCTTACTGCTCTGCGCTTTGCTCCCTATTTCTGTACTTTTCTTTGATTTTTCTAAGATTTTTACTTCAGCAGATCAGCACAGTGCTAGCTTGATGCAATCTGAAAGTCCAAGTGATCTTTGCTGAAGTTGGTTGATGAAAAGAACCAGTTTGAGTCAGAGAATCTTGTTGAATGGAAAAAACAAGGCCGAAGGCCTGGCACAAAACTTAGAAAGTCCTGGAGCGTTGGAGCTCACATCTTATCAAAATCTAACAGAACCACAGACTCTGGGCGGGTCACATGAAGTGCGGCCTTTAAAGTCTGCAAAGATTCACGCCTCTCAAGATGGGCTTGTCCAATGAGAAAGTCCGGAATCCCAAGTGGGAGTTTTGAGATACTGGGGAGTTTTTATGACCCTTTGTTTGAAAGCATGGTAATTTGCATATGAAACTTGGATCAAAATTACTAAAGCTTCTTAGAACACTAATATGTTGCGTAGGTATATCATCCGAATACGAATTAATAGAGACCAAACACATTATATGTAAGGTTACATGAATGAGTGGTTCTATCATAAGCATGCATAAAATAGTCTACAATACAACAGATAATATACAAGACCGCAATACTATACACAATGACCTCAAGAATCTGTGTTCATTCAAAAAGAAAGGTTTTCCTATGAATTAA